TCAGAAGGGGCCTTGCGGAATTCATTTATGAAATCTACGACCAAAATTACAAAGGAAATGATACCTAACATGATGAGACAGAATGAGCATTTTAAAATACCGATTTCCCGGACCCTCTTATTACGGCCGCCATTTTCAATTTTAACTTTTCTGAGGGGTGTTCCGGGGTCTTGCCATTTTTAACTTTTAGAAAGTTGTTCAGGGGGACCTACTGATGACGATTACATAGGGAAAGTTTGTTACGCAATTTTTCCCGGTCAAACCGCACTTTCCCCTTACTATTATAGCACGATCCTGCTTCTCGATCCGTACACTTTTTGGAGGACTGTGCAAAATTGTTGGAACTTTTTTTGAAACTGAGGAAGTTCTGATGACATTTGCATCCTCAACACTTGCCTCCAGTTCATTTATACCCTCTTTCGACTTATTTTCGTGAAAAATTAGTCTTTTAAACCTCTACTTTGTAAGACCTCGGAAATTCTGAGGACCAAAAAAATAAATACCGAGTTGAGTTTTTCTAGTTCAATTTGATTTTTATCGGTAACAAAGACCTTTTTCTGGTGTAAAATTTCATCCTCCACAAGTCGAGTTCTTTGGCATTTTTCTCGTAAACGCACGATTTCAGCGTAAAATCGAGTTTTTTGTACGAAATCGAGGTCTAAACCAAAATATCATAATTTCATCACAAAATTGACCTTTGGCACCATTTAAAATGGTTGAAATTGGCCCAAATTTTGGCAAACATGTTTTTTTACCAAACGTCATCGATTGCCGCCTGGGGAGCGGAACATTTCAGACTTTCATTTTTTTTGACGCACCCTAATGCAACATCTCCATTCTTTCACAGATGAGCCAATAATAGTAGTTCCTTCTTGCAAAGCACGGAGTCCCGTTCGTATTGAGAACTCGAACTTTCCGCGGCTGTACTTCTCACACCCGCGCCGTCTCACGTACAGTTCCGGAAAGCTCGCAGCTACACGAACTTTCAACCCCCACCGACAGATCCCGGCACCCGTATCGTCGGCGGCACGTCGGCCGGCGCTCGGGCGTGACGTCATCCCTCCCCCCGCCGCGGAGCCCTCGTTGACATATTGATTTTACTACGGGCCGGCCGAAACAAGGGCACACACCAAGACCCCCCCCCTTCCCCCCTCGTCCCCCGGTCGTCGCAGCCGTTCCTGCCTCTCGGGATCTCCGGGTATCCGTGTCTCTGCCTCGATCCGCGGGCGCGCCTGCAGAGGGACGTCCGTCTTCCGATCCGCCCGCCGCGAGACTCTCCTCGAGTCGAACTTTCCCGCGCCGAGGAGATCCTGACCGACTTGCTCGCGTCGTTGCCACGTCGTCGGGGAAACGCTCGGTCGACCGCTGCACAGTGGAGCGATTCCAAAGGAGAGGTCGGACACAATTTGGAAACTTTATACGCTCATAACCCCGTTTGTACGAAATTTTGATGTTCTGAAAGTGGCTCCATTGGTTTCCTCGTGGGGTTGTCTTCTGGAAACACCCCTTAAAATCTAAAATGTGACGAGATAAACATCGAAATTTGTAATTTTAGTCAAAAATTTCATGTCCGACCTCTCTAATGGACTCGATCCACTGTGCGGCGGCAGGGTTGCACTAGAGTCCCTTTATACTGAGAGTCAAGACAATGTGAATCCATCTCTGATTGGTTCCCGTATTTTAGGCCTTCACAGTGTCACAAACGGGAATAAAGATTACATTTTCACCGATTGGCAAGATTATAATCTGGAATGGACCAGGGAATTACGGGTTCGGCAAGGAACAAACGGAATGAGAAAAGGAGCGGAGAAAGGAATTTAAGAATGGGCCGATCAAAGATTACGGAGAACGTTCAATCTCTGTAATCTTTATTCCCGTTTGTGACTCCATGGGGGGTGTTGTCTTGACTCTCAGTATAAAGGGACTCTAGGTTGCACGGGCGATTTGAAAAATATGCACTGAAAAAAATTGGTCTGTTCACAGGGCTCCTGCACTTTTTTTCTAACAGTCACAGAAGCTTCCGTTATGAGGACAGAGTACTCTGTTCCCACGACCGAAGTTCTGTTCTCACGACAGAAAAATTCTGTAAGTGTTACAAACAAACTGCATGAGCCCTGTGAACAGAAGGTTCTGTCGTCAGCACCCCCCTTTTTTGTGTGGAATATTGAAATCTCCGCGGAATATTTCATGAAACTGCACAAAGTTGTGATAAATATGAAACATATTTTCAGGGGCTGGGTATGCACCACGCACTGAAAAACACCAAAAAGCAGGAACTAATCGCCTTTTCTATAATTTTGAATTTGAATCGGGACGTGCGAAAAACGCCAATGTCCATTTTTTTAGTCTTCAGTTTTTTGAGTTCATAATACTTTTCGGAGTTGGTTGCAACCGCGATATTGACGTTAAAACTCGTTTTTGGGTTTCCTCAATCCCAAAACGAGTCCTTTTATGGTTGTATCAACTCTTTAAGAGTATTATGAACTCAAAGAAACTTAAGACTGGAAAAATGGACATTAGCGGTTTTCACAAGTCCCGATGCATTTAATTTCGAAAGGTATTTTTCATATTTTTCTAAAACTTCATGAAATATTTCACGCACCAAAATTTTTCGTCCTAGAAACCGAACTTCGGTTCAGATAATCGAAATCATTGATAAATAAACGGAGGCTCTGTATGAATTGCGAAATCTCGGTCGCCTAATTCGTAGTTCTGTTCGTCTGACAGAGAACTTCGGTTACCCAGACCGAAGTTCAGCTCACATGGAACATACCAAGGCAAACCAAACCAAAGTTCTGTTCCTAGAGCTGAAACTCCTAGGCCTCGGTCCCCAGGCTCTAAGAACCGAACTTTGGTTTGGGTAACCGAAGTTTTTAGCAAATAATACGAGTCCCTGTTTAACTAAAAAAATCTGCGGCTACCTAAATCGTTGCTCGGCTCTTGTGGCAAAAAGTTTTGGTTGCCCAGACAAACAACTTTGGAGTTCTATATGCAGAATAAGAGTCTTTGTATGGTCAAAAAGCTTTGGTTACCGAGATCGTGGTTCGATTCTCATGAAATTTGGTAACGCGGGAAAAACGACTCTTGGGCCGGTAGCCGAGTCATACAACGGTGACACCTAGATTCAGGGTAGTACCAGCGCTATTTTCTGAGGTCGGGGCACTGAAGCAGGCAGGGCCCTTTAGGTGCGTTGTCATTTCTGCCGTGCTAAGGAAGAACGCCGTATGAACATTCAGGCGTTGCCAAATTTCCCTTGATAAAACACGAATTTCTTGGTCAACTTGTGAATATATTTCTTTCAATTTTTCAGATAATTTTGCTCGCAATTTCACGGAAAAGTCCTTAAAATTTCAAGGGAAAATGTTCATAAGTTTCCTCGGAAATGAACATTTTATCGAAGGATATTTGGTAACTCTCGAATGTTCATACGGCCTTCTTCCTCAGCACGGCAGATTTGACTACCTCTCTAGAGAAGTTTTTCCATGTTACTTGACCAAAGAAATTGGAGAATGTATCAAATGAATCTTTATACAATTCATATCTCTATTTCATAGACGTTTGAAAACGCCAGGTATTGATCGTGCATGCAATCAGAGACGTGTATCTGAGAGAAGGCGAGTTCTCTACGGAAATAGCTCTGAAGTCTGTAACACGTCGCGTTGTCGGGCGATCTGCTATGGATACCTAGCGAAGACAATTAACCGACAACAGGTAGAGAGCTGACAGTTTATGACGAGTTTGCAAACGCCGACTTTATCACGCCAGTGGTGCAATTTCAGTTGAATCTCAAAGGGTTCAAAATATTTTAAAGAGACCGTATTTAGCAGGTTTTCTAGGATCGGATGACTGAACACCTCACTGTTGAATTTGAACAGTCAAATTTTAAATTAATCGCTGGGAAGCTGCTTTTTCATCGTACTTGCTTTCAACACTCGTAACTTCAGCCAACGTTCATAGTTTTTACGGTCAGCAGGATAAAATTTAACAAAAAGGCATTCAATAATAGAATTTAGCCTCCTCTTTCGACCGGGGCTGATTTCAAAGCACGTCAAATTATATGGAGAAAGAGAGTCTGAACTCGCGTGACGTCAAATTTCACAGGGGTTTTTCCCCGATTTTTGTTTTAACACTAACTTATTCCTGTTCAATCATTCTGCACTTCGACTTCATTTTGTAATCAGGAACAAAAATATCTGGCTCATTCGTAAACACAGGTAAACTAATGGTACCTTGTTCCAAGCTGAGCCAGAAAATATAGTTCCGAATAGCAAAATGCAGTCCAACTCAGAAGCTCCAGGAAGTAAGTTCTGTAAACACTTTCACTGAATCTTTTTTTCCCGTGTAAGCTGGAGTATACAGTATACACCTCATTTTCTGATCCTTAAATGTTGTCTTTCTTCTTTACCCTCCATGTTTCAAACGAGCTGCCTGTATCCGTGAACAATTTGTCACGTTTTATGAGTAAAATGTAGCCCAACAGCAATTCGGAACTGCAATTTCTGGCTTTTTTGTTAAAACACTTATGTACATAGGGAAACAAATGGTACACAAGTTGTTTCTCAACTGAGCCAGAAATTGTAGTTCTTAATTGCAAAATGCAGTCCAGTTCATCGAGACGATTTCTACTTTCGAGAGGGGTACGGGGGTTGAGGGTAGCGTTGACAACATTTTCCAGGGGGGCTCAGTCCATCGTGACCGGTGCCTGACATCCGGTGGG